AGTAGTTATACATTAATATATGGTGTTCCTTATTCTTTCGTGCAACAACTTCCGTTACTCTTGTTCTCTTCATATGACTGTGACTTAGGTCTTTACCTAGATCAAAAACTCACGTGGAGGACTCACATCAAAAAGAAACGCCAACAGTTAACGCTGAAAGAGAGACAGCTGCGCTGGCTGCTAGGAAAACGCTCGCAATTGTCCCTGGAGAACAAAACCCTGTTATACAAGGCACTCTTAAAACCTATATGGACCTATGGCATCGAGCTGTGGGGCTGCCCTCGACCATGCAATACCAAAATCCTCCAAACATTCCAATCGAAAACACTAAGAAGAATCACAGGCGCACCATGGTACGTAACAAACGGAACTATCCACAACGATCTCAACATACCCCTCATCACGGAAGAGATCAGAAAACATGCCACCAGACACCGTACTCGGATAACAGGACACGAGAACCCGCTAATCGTTGAATTAACGAAACCGCACCCAGCAGCAAGACGACTGAGGACAACCTGGCCAGAAGACTTATGTAACTAAAAGGTAGAGTACTGCCACTGGACAGCTGCCGCCTTCACGACATAAACACCCATCGCATTTACTTATTACTTACAGTGGTCAAGTAGATTGTAAATTGACGTAAATAAATAAATAAAAATATATGACTGTGACTTTATTGCATACAGTGACGACATTGCACCTGCTATTTCTACATTGCAGTGGCTTCATTCATTACAACTGCAAAAAAGAACTCTGGTGCGGAGATGACTGGAACCAACAAGCAGGAGAATAATACCAGCCTTACTTAGAGTTACAACTGTGAGCTATAAAGGTTACAGCTGAGCATGAAAGACAGGAAATGGATGAAGCAGAAAACAGGCCCCGAAGTATCCACCGCAGGCCTTACATCTAAACTGGTTAGGCCGGGGAAGAAGAACGCCACGGAAGCAGGAACCGTGGTACAGAGGCCATAATAAACACAATCAGCGCTGAGACAGCATCAATGGAGCAAGCAACTTGCTTAATATATGGTGTTCTTTATTCTTTATGGGGATATCGCTGTAGTCATAACAACAGTGCAGCAGATGCGGTCAGAAGAAACGGAAGACAAGCTTTTTATCATCACAATGGAAGCTGTGTATGGTCTTTCGTGAAAAAATAAATCCCTGCCTTTGCTCTACAAGCAGCACGTTTTGCACTTCTTTACACGTCTGTCTCCTTTTCTCTAAGGGGAGATACAAAGTGGGATAAACACTGAAGTGTCTAGTTGTACGCACTACCTGGTCAAGAGTCCAAAAGGGGCTCGACATCACGGCAACCCAGGTCGACTGAGGAAGCGGGTCCCAATGCAGTCGGCGCCAGTGCCACGTCAGACTTATTGTTGCCCTTGAAGACGGCAAAAGCATATTCCTCTTTACGATGCAACAGGCTACACGCTGTCACGTCCCTTACTTTAACTCAGGTTTTGTAATAAATTTCTCCCACCTCCAAACGTAGCGGTTGTATCGCAGTGGCTACTTCTCCGTAGCCTCGTCTGAGAAAAGAGGGTGAAGTTATTTCTTATATGACCAGAAGGTAACAAAATTAACAAAGCCCCCTTAGTGATTAGAGTTACCAGAAAGTTGTGAGATCTCGAACAGCAATTGCATATCTTAATTAAGTTCAGTCCTTTCCACTTGAATTGAACCATAAAGCTCTAGCACTTTCAGCCACAAGCAAGGCCATTAAGTCGACATTTCACTTAACTAGGAATGGTAACTGTACCATCAAGAGATACATGACAATGTGGATCATGAACGCTCGTACTAATTTAACCAATGCCATGCAGCAAAGTTCTTCTTGAGAAGTTAATTGTCGCTCAGATAGTCATGTTCATTGTCGTGTTCAAAAGAGCCTTCCACTGGATAGTAAGAGGCCGAGTGTAACATTTCGTAATATGCTGGGGGACTACGCCTAACTGATTTCATAACATTTAGCCTCACAATCAGGCTAGATATGATAAATGTTGCGTCACGTGGCAAATGGTAGTGTGAATCATGGCAGCCTATAAAAAATGTAAAGCTCTCCCTGTAACAGGTCGTGGAGGCCCATAGAATTGTGAGAAGTTGAGGCTCCCACATTTCCTAGACAATCGGTTCACAGATGGCAGTGAGGTTGTCAGCCTTACGCGCAGACCGGCCTTTATCCCCAGGAAGATTCCTGGTACTCGTTTCTGTTAGCGGCTGAGCCGACCCCAGGGCCATAGTGCGGTTGGAAGGGTTAGGTAAATTAAAAAATCAAATGACCTCACCGGAAATCGAACCCGCGACCTTCCGGCTTGTAGCATAGTGCCTCAACCACTACACTGCCGCGTGCCCCATGCTTTAACTTATGACTGACAAATAAAATGTAGCCAGGATCTGTCTCGATGGAAAATATGCATAAGTAGTAGGCTAATATTTATTTTTTCACGGGTTTTCGCCATATTATATGCTCTGAAATACTTGAAGGAAAGTATATATTACAGGTTGGACACCCTTCTTTATGCCCGTACAACTGCGCAGAAGGTTTTAGCATTCATTAACGCTGCTGGATTTGCAAAGTCAACATCTGCTAGATTTCCGTACAGTCCGGCAAATCTATTTTGCTTTCGTACTCTATGAAATCGTGTAAGAAATAAATTCAATTATTTCATGTTTCATTTAACTTGATGTTATGTACAGCAGGGCACTATTTTGAGGGTTTATATGTGGCTTGCCAAACACAGTGGCTATGCGGTCTAAGGCATGAACCGTTTTCGCCCGTTCTAACACTGGGATTGTGGGTTCGAATCACACTCAAGGCATGGATGTCTCTGTGCCTTTATTCTCGTTGTGTTGTTCTGTGTGTAGGCATGGGCCCTGCGACGGGCTGAACCCCCGTCCAAGGAGTCCTAGAGACTGTGTATAGGATTAAGAAACTGAAAACGGCCAAGGGACACAAGGTCTATAGAGCTGCAGATAGATAAATGTACCTTAAATTATTTAACTAGTGTAGTAAAAACTACTCAAAACGGAACCGTGTTCGACTGAAATAGTTCTTTATCTGGAAAGTACTCTGTTCCCAAAAATGTACTGTGGAATTTAACTTAGATTAAGGCGGCGCCGTAGCTCAAGCGGTTGGTCGCTGGCTTCCCACCCCGGCGGCCTGGGTTCGATCCCGGGTCTGGTCAAGTGAGATTTGTGGTGGACAAAGTGGCGCTGGGGCGGGTTTTCTCCGAGTACTTCGGTTTCCCCTGCCAATCTTCATTCCACCAAATTCTCCATCATCATAATCACCCGGGCAGGCTACAATGGGCCAATCAGTGGCCGCCGTGCCGAGTGGAGGCAGTTGGACTCCACTCCCACTAAGCGAATTAAAAGAAAAAGATTATTCTCTAATAAATGGAAGCTCTCTAGCCCGGAAACGGAAATGAAGACGTCAGTTTAAGGAGAAACAGTCTGCTGAACATACTTGTTTTCTGTTTCTATAGTTTATTCCGTACTGATCGGAATGTATTTGAGAAGGAGCATGAAAACCAAACAGGTAACAAAAATAAGTGCAGCTACTTAAGTGAATTATCAAAGAAAAGAAATAATGAAACCTAAAGTTGTGCTGCCCAGTGACAGTGTAGAGTATGGTCTGTGTATGTAGTGTGAATTTTATGACATTTTTGAACCACAAAAACACAAGCCGCTTATTATGCACAGGCTAGTTAACGGAAACCTGTCCGAAACGGAAATGTTTCACGTTTCTTAGGATTTTATTATTACTATACTTTGCTGTATATTACTTTTTTCTAGTTTAGTGACATGTCTCTTTATAGCATCATAAATTTATTAAAGCTCAAAGGTTGCAGTCTTAATTTTCAGTTTTTTCGCTTTTCCGCTAAGTCGCTTTTATAGAAAAGCATACTGATGTTCAAATTATATTTCTTTTATACGAGCTAATCAATAGTCCTAGATGCTAACAAGCCCTCAACATCCTACAAACAGAAGTGCGAACAATATTTGAGTCAGGTGACAGGAAAGTGATGTTGGGTCTCCTTATAACCGGCTATAAGTATCTTCAACATTTCCTTTTAGCGATTCTCAGCCTTCATTTCTACAGTTGTTCCTCCAAGCACAGAACCCTTCTTAAGTTTCATCTTCATGCCGTAATGAGACTTTCTGTAGCAATATTTGAAACAAGATGTGGTTCCCTGGCTTTCACATATAGTTCACAAAGTTTGGCAGTAACTGGGATAATCATACCCCTTTCTCGTTTGTCATCACATCCGCCTAAGTTATCGATTCTTTGTTGAAATGTTGGTATTGCGTTCCTACAGTTCGTCACACACTGCTCTCTCTCTCTGGGCAGAAGGATAACTTTTAGTCGCAGAAGTTAATATTTTGTCTATCACTTTTGTAATTTCTTGCTTTACCTTCAAATATTGTTGTCTCAAGGCTTAATGAATAATATAAAATAATATAACCCTTATAAATTAAACAATTAAATAAGTGTGATGAATAACAATATAGAATATGACGCACGCACGCACACATACAGACCTCTCTATATGCATTCCTGTATACGGAGACGCATGCATGTATGAAAACACACAGAAAGCTGACATTGCATACTTACACACATGCGTACATAACTTACATAAATATACACATGTGTATAATAATGCATGATCTGATGGGCTGTGAGTGATCGAAATAAAGTATATTGTGCCGTTACGTGGGTAATGTCGAAAAACGGTGACTCGTACCTCCGATTAAGCTGTCTCCCCGTGAGTATATTGAAAATAAAATAGTAGAAAGCTGTATCCGTACCAAATGACTAATATTAGGATATATGGGGGAGTGGCGGTAAAGCTCCACGCATTCGTAACATCAGCACTAGATGGATGTGAGCAGTCAGAATCACAATCTGACCACATTACCTCCAAGAAAACGGCCAATGATACCACCTGGATAGCAGAAATGCTCACACATTTTGAGAGAGCTCCTTACTTTGCTGGTGACGAAGAGGTCCTCCCTCTGCACGACTCCTTCGTCAATCTTGTACCTGATGCCGTGTCCCACTTCGGATTCGTTTCCGTATACGCAGGCGCAGTCTAGATGCCTGTAACCAGCGTCAATGGCATCCTGGACTGCTCTCTCCACTTCTCCCGGTTTGGACTGGAAATGTGAATACGAGAATAAAAATGTTGGGATGTGGCTCTGTGTAGTCTGACATTCCTCTGAAACATCAGTAAACTACCAGACTCCACGGCGTCTCATCTCAGGAGACAACTGCCCATAGTCTCCGCAGTGAGAACGGGAAATCTCACGAGGGTGGAATGTACACTATAGTGCACATATTAACCATTTGCATTCTTTGCCATTTTACACATCTCACTGGCCTTCATACCCACTTATTTCAGATGGAAATCACACGCTACACGTCTCCTAACACAACAGCTACACTGCACAGAGTCACATATAATTTTTTCTTCGTATTTCACTAAATGGCTTATACATCATATCAAAAATCTTCCAAACAAAAGTTATTCCTCTTAGTGCTATCTATATTTTATGTCCTGTAATAATTCTTGCATAATGAGATGCTTTTGAGAAAATCGATCGAGTTGTATTTGAGCTTCATGTAAACTAAGGATTATATTAGACCGTTATGAACCAAATTAAAATCCGAGAGACAGCTTTTCTTGTAGGCCCTCATATAATAATTTCGTAACAATTCGTTTCGCATCTTCATACATGAAAGATGTGACAGATAAACGGATGGATGGAAATTGTATTTACTAAATGTATTCATTTGGTGAACTTCACAAAAATGCTAAACAGCATCCAGTATCTTGAAATCTGGTTTGTGTTTCTTCTGAAAATATTACCCCCAAGACTCGTCACTTCTTAATTTCGATTTTAAAATTACGTCACAAGAACTTCACACAAAAATTAATTACAGAGGCACATCTAACCTCATTTGGATCGAGTGATTGTCTGATTGAAAGCCTGATTGGAGAATTTAAGTTCAACAGACATCTGCTATTATTATGCAACTGTCAAAATATTGCTAAATTAATATTTAACAAGACTGTAAAATTAGGATGTACTGCAATGGAGCAAATAATTTACAAAGGGGTTCTTGGGGATTTCTCATATCTCAACTGCCTTGACGTCTAGATCTGTTTATTGCAGTTGCGTCTATTGTATCAAAGCCAGACACGCTACAGATCAGATAACAAAGAGCATGAATAAATAACTGTCGTTCCGTGTACTTCATTAAACAATACAATGAAAAACATTTTAAGTAAAAGTTCTAATTATTTTTCACTCTGTGTAACATTTTTCTGCATAGTAGGCCGTTTTTGAGAAAGCTGATAACATNTTGTCGCTTGCAGATTTCTTATACTTTTTCTTCTACCCTGAAGATGGGGGCGATACGTTCCTCCGAAACGTCGGTTAACACCACATATACACGGTGCCAAATCCCAGAAGACTGCTTTCTTCAGATATTATCTTTGTTCGTAACACAGTGGGAGTATCCTGAAGCGGTAGGAACCAAAATTAGACTCGATCGATAAGGTATATTGTCATTTTCCAATACCAGATTTCATAGATATCTGATTTACAGTTTCACTAATGAAATGCACAAGAACGAACATACAGATGTGTTCATTTGTTTCACTTCATACAAGGAACACACGATAAACACGAAATTCAAGTAACTTCATATAAATTTTGGTGACATAATTTTCACTAGCCCTCGAAGACTCTGCCATCTTGGAAGAAATATGGAAACATCTCCATGTCATATGCAAATGTTATTACCTTGGTCGTCAGAACCTCGTACTTAAAAAGTCTAATTAGGCTCTTGTTGGCCTAGCGGCAGGATAAGGTCTATGATAAGCATTTTACTCTTTATGAGCAATCCGTTATTGACCTCCGTACATCAAATTAAACTTGTTTTTTACTGTTTACAATTACTTAATCCCTTCTTCTTATACCCACATCAAATTAAAGCTGGGCTGAAAGATAACGCTCCACTTACAGGCTTACCACTCGCAAGGTTTACCAGGCGTGGTGATATCAGGACACTCCTGAGATGTTATATCATGTCATTATTGTGGCTTATCATTAGTGGTGATAAATAGACGTGCTGTAAGAGCTTAAGTATGACTCAATAGTTTACTTACCTTCCACGTTCCGAGACCAATAACGGGTATTTTGTAGCCGTTCTCGAAGGTCAAAGAGGGAATTTGAACGGGCCCCATGTTTGCGTCAAACAACTGCGAGATGATTGCGCCTTATGACCGTTTTGAACGGTTTTGATGGCTCCAGCATGCAGCCTTGAAACATGACGTTTTATTTTTATGGTCGTATCAGGGCTACCATACTGCAGATGTTTAAAGTTCGCAGAAAGCGAAACTAACAGCCAAATTAAGCGTGATTATTAGGGCCGCGCCATAGCTCAAGCGGTTAGTTGCTGGCTTCCCACCGCGGCGGCCCGGGTTTGATCCCGGGGTCTGGTCAAGTGGGATTTGTGGTGGACAAAGTGGCGCTGGGACAGGTTTTCTCCGAGTACTTCGGTTTCCCCTGCCAATCTTCATTCCACCAATTGCTCCACAATCACCCTCACCTATCATCTGGGGCTGGTACAATAGGCCAAAAGTGGCCGCAGTACAAGGGACCCACCCCACTAGCAATAAAAGAAGCGTAAGTATTCCAAGGGAATATGCATAACAGAGAGGAAGTGATCTTCGCTCCTCAATTCCGAGTCTGACTTTTCTACGTATTATAAACTGTGTAAGATTTGAGGTTTTCACGGCGGTGACTATGAAGAATGCCGTCTGCTGGGATGTGGCACTCTGTACATCTTGTGTGAACCGACGTCTCGGAGGAACATATCGCTTCCATCTTCAGGGTAGAAGAATCCGCGATTGAGGAATAAGCGTGAGCAGATGACTGCAGACTGGGTTAAAAAACCAAGCAAACAAGAAAAAAACCCGCTAGACCTGCCCTATGAACTTCAAATTCACAAACAAGTTTCACAGCCACCACATTAAGACGCAGAATTTCTCCCAAATACAAAGGAACACAAACATAAACAAGGAGAAAAAGCAATCGTATATATACTCGTTCATGCCAATAAGAGAGCCGCGATAGCGCAGTCGGTATAGCGACTGGCTACGGGCTGGACAACCGAGGGGTCGATTTCGAGTCTCGGGAGGGGCAAGAATTCTCACTCCTTGACGTCGCCCATGCCGGCTCTGGGGCCCACCCAGCCTCCTATCCAATGGGTATTGGCGGACTCTTTCCTCGGTGGTAAAGCGGCTGGGACGTGAAGCTGACCACTCACCTCCAACTAGTGTCGAGGTCAAGAAAACGTGGGTAAATACATCTATTCGCCCATACTTTTTCATGGCGTAGTGCTTAATTAGTTAAGCACAGGCACAATTTTACATTTACGTTTTACAAGCAAACAGGACACTAAAAACATCAATACAAGACCACGAAGAACTCAAAGAGGTACATCGGTGGAAAAGACACATCTACACACAACTACCACATCCATACAAAAACGTAGAAATCCCTGTTTTTGTAGTCCAATTTTAACGATTTTATATTCAAATAATCCATATTTTATCTTAACGGTGAACACAACGGAATTACTCACTACTAAAAATCAGTATTTCAATATGTAGACACTGGCCAATACTGACAGAGCGGCTGCGGCTTCTCGGCGAAGTTAATGCCAACTTTAGCGGATAGAGGGTGTCACATGGTCAGCGCAACGAATCGCCACGGCCGTTAATTTCGGTTTTCTAGAACGACGCCCCTATTTCCTTGAAGTATCCCCTCAATTATCCCCACGAGGTTGAGTAGACCCCGTTCCAGACCCACTACTTCTCAGAATATCTGGTAGCGCCGGGAATTGAAACCGGGATATCAGGATCTGTAACCAGTAACTCTGGCCACTAGACCACAGAAGCGGTAGGAATATATAGAAGTGAAAGCGAAAAAAAAACCAGATATCTACTAATGGCTTAATGACCCAAAATTCATTGTAAGAAACGATGAATGTATGGTATGTCCATACTACCTAAGTGGTGATGGAATAAAATAAAAGAATTTCTGAAAGCAGTCTTCTGGGATTNACCGGTTCTCACGGTCTCTTCGCTTGCAGATTTCTTATATTTTTTCTTCTACCCTGAAGATGGAGGCGATACGTTCCTCCGAAACGTCGGTTAACACCACATATACACGGTGCCAAATCCCAGAAGACTGCTTTCTTCATAGTCACCGCCGTGAAAGCCTCAAATCTTAAAAAGGAATTTCTGTTTCACACATACTAATATAACCTGTTCGGCATGATCCAAGACGGAGAGAAGTTCCCATGATTTCGTTTCCAGACCTAGTCAACAGACGTAGTTTAAACTTAAGGCCTAGGGTATCCGTTATGAAATATTATACTACACTACACAATCGGTGACTGTACATATGGATGTAGAGTATAGGTTGGAGCATCGAAGGATATTACTTGCAGCCGATCCCAATATCCGTGCTCTTTAGAAGCTTTGGAATGCCAATTGTGTTAGATCACACGAATATGGCTGGATGACTGCGTCACTGTCCACTGTCTGTCTCATTGGCATAATTATTTGCAGGGAAGCGAGAGAACTAGTCCCTCATGCATACGAAACGATCATGGCTCAAGAAATCTTGGAAAACTGCTACCTAAGATTAAGTTAACACGATAGCTGAGAAGATATGTGACCAAGTTGATTTCCATTAATTTTATGTGAGCGAGAGGTATGGATTCTTAAGGCTAAGGAAAGACAGTATTTGAGAGGAAAGTGCTGAGGAGAATATTTCGACCTAAGAAAGAGGAAGTAAAAGAAGAATAGAGAATTTTACATAAAGAAGAGCTTCGTAATCTGTTCTCTCCAGGAAGATCTGACGGGTAGGATATGTAGCACGGATAGGAAAGATGAGTAATGCATACAAAATTCTAGTTGCAAGGCTTTAAGCGAAGAAGGTATTTTAAAATCTTAGACGCAAGTAAAAGGATCTCATTAAAATGACTTTTAGAAAAAAGAGAAATTAAATTGGCCCATGATAAGATTTACGCCGAGTAGGCTTTTGTGAATACGATTAATGAATTCTGGGTTTCCATAACAGTATGAAATCTCTTACATTTTGAGTAAATAATTATTTACTTTTCAAGAAAGACCTAGAGGAGCTTCATAACTTGTACTCTTCGCCAAGTATAATCAGAATTATCAAGTCAAGTAGGATGATGTGGGCAAGGCATGTAGCGCAGACACAGGGGAGAAGATGAATATACATAAGATTTTAGTGGAAAATCCAGAAGGAAAGAGACCACTAGGAAAACTTAGATGTAGGTTGGAGGATAATATTAAAATGGATCTTAGAGAGCTAGTATGGAGCGATATGGACTGGATGAGCTGGCTCAGGATAGGAAGGCTCTTGTGAACATGGCAACGAACCTTCAGGTTTAAAAAGATATTGCGAAATTCTTCAGTAGGTGAGCGAATGGCAGTTCCTCAAGAATGCCTCAGCTCAATGGAGTTAGGTTAGTTAGTTCCAATAAAATTCAAAGCGTTAGTAGGTCTGTGACCCGTAAGTAAGCCCAATATCTTGGCCTTTGCCTGATAAGGAAAGCTATGAAACCTGAGTCAGAGTGGCCAGTCCCTGGGCCAATAATTGAACTGGGACCTCTCGAATGCAAGGACAGAGGGCTCTCACTTTATAGTAAAATGTTCTGGGCTCAGATCTTGGTCCAAAGACCAGCTATACTGACTGAAGTTTTTTCACGATAGAAATTACAATTTGGGCAAACGTACTGAGCAGGTATGCCCAAGATAATACAAATTAAAAGTGTAATGCCTAAGATTACGCATTAAAACATCGAAAACGTAAAGGAAATGCACATTTCTGATTCCGTCCACAAGACTGTGCACATTTTTACGGACTTTTGTTTTATTATTTTGCCGTCTATTGCAGAAAGTCCATAGTACTGTTTCACTATAGGCTACGTTAACAAACCATATATCGCTACAGGCCACAGAGTTTATTTTATATTCCTATATTTACAACGAGCCGGTCACGGTAGCCGAGCGCTCTAAGGCATGTACTGTCTTCGCTCGCCTGGAAAGCGGGATCGTGGGTTCGAATCCCACTCAGGGCATGGATGTTTAGTTTGTGTGTGTGCGTTTTCTGTGTTTGTGTGCAGGTAGAGGCCTTGCGACGAGCTGATCACACGCCCAAGGAGTCCTACCGAATGTGTAAGATCTAGAAAAACCGAAGCGAACGGAGAAGTTCATGGAGGTAGGCCTAGGCCCACTGGGGCTGTAGTGTCAAGGGGGAAAAATATTTATAATGAAGAATAGCTTGCAATAGTGCCGATCACACTGGCCGCGCGTTCTAAGGCATGAACCGTCTTCGCCCGCTATAACTCTGGGGTCGTGGTTTCGAATCCCACATGAGACATGGACATCTGTGTGCATTTATTCTGCGTTTTTGTTGTTCTGTGTGTATGCAGCGGCCTTATGACGGGCTGATCCCGCGTCAAAGGAGTCCTATCGACTGTGTATAGGATTACTAAACTGAAAAACGACCAAGGTCCAAAGGGCTGTAGAGTCATAGAGAGAGAGTGTGTTAAAAGTGTTTGATTTGGAAATTTCCATCCAAAACGCGCGTGGTTATGCCGCTACAATCATGGTTACGCCCCATGACACGATCAGAAAATAACACGCGTCGTTAAATTTTCAAGTCTGAAGCTTTAACAAAGAGCGTGAATAGGGTAAACTCATGATAATTCGTAACCTGGCAACTTACGCGTTATCTTGTTATAACTACTTCGAAGTACAGTTCATTATTTCCGATTTTACCTACCTCATGGCCGCGCCATAGGCCAAGGGGATAGTCGCTGGCTTCCCACCGCGGCGGCCCGGGTTCGATCCCGGGTCTGGTCAAGTGGGATTTGTGGTGAACAAAGTTGCAGGTTTTCTCTGAGTACTTCGGTTTCCCCTGCAAATCTTCATTCCACCAATTGCTCCACAATCACCCTCACCTATCATCTGGGGCTGGTACAATAGGCCAGAAGTGACCGTAATACAAGGGACTTAGTCGCACCCCACTAGAAAAAAAAATAATAATACCTACCTCATGTTGACTAGGAGGACCCGGAGCAATCAAAATGTGGTAGCCTCTATCACTAACGACAAATTAAGTTATGGACACTTTTTTTCCAATTTATTTTAACAATTAGAAGACATTAACTTTCCGTGATTTTTTTTAAGTGGCACTAGAGCCCCAGTTGGCCTAGGCCTAC